AACTCTTGAGGGTGAGGGACAGATACAGTGTCCCCTTAAATTCTTTTTTCCTGCTGAGGGCTCTCTGCTCCCTGCCCACTGCTACCTACCAGTTGCTCAAAATAGGATTTTCTCTTCCACTGGCTAACTCTATTTTAGAGTCTCATATATAGAAACTCTGAGTTTCCTCACTCTTTGTGTGCTACTAACAGGATGAAGCATCCCTCTATGATCTGTTGCTCTTTTATCCAATACAAGTTTTAAAAAGTAGAAAGTGATTCACAGGTTCTACATTGAGAAGATTTAGAAAAGTGTCAAGGATACTCTGTATTGCAAAGCATGCCCCTGAAAGTAAACTTCACAAGTATCAGTCTCTCTGTGGTGGTTTTATAAGGTCTTTGGTAAATGAAAGGGTTTTAATAGAAGTTGTATATGTGTGTATATGTGTGTGCATAATATATCTAAATTTAATCTTTCACAACTCAAATTTCATTAGTGGCCCTTTCATAGGTTACTCTTGTCAATTCATTCAGATCTGGGGCTAACATATGAAAACTCATAGTAAGACATAATGTGTCATTCTAAACTTTTGCATCAAATAGCTACAATTACTCTATGAGTTATGACCTGATTAGCCTTTTATTATTCATATATATTAATTATATATAATGTGAATATATGAATTATATAGAATTAGTTTAAACTGGTATGCCATTTTTATTAGAAATGAAGTTCTATATGGCAGTAATGAATAACTTTTTCTGTGTAAATAGCGAACTGCATCCAGATTCACTCACTACATCTTAATCTCAATGTGAGGCAGCTTTTTGTAATGGCAAAAGTTTAAGTTCAATCTAATTTAAATTTTTGATTCTCAGTGACTTTCATCACCTTCTTGCTTTTTACTCATCATAGTTGTCTCTTCTGACCAAGAGTTAGGATCTAAAAAAGGGGTTCCAACCAATGTGATGATGGGTGTGGGCTTGGGGTGTCATCTTCACAAGGTGGCAGAGCTTGGAGGAAAGAAACCTTTCAGGGAATTTTGCTCCCTTTCTTTCTGCTCAGGGCTCCTTTAATCACATCCACTGCTGCCTCCTCTGTTCCAAATAGAATTGTCTCCTCTCTCAGGCAATCTTGTAAGGGCTTCTACACATGTATTGTGGACATTTCTTTTGGATTTGGACTGGTGGCTACTCAAAGTGTCAAACACACTAAGTGAAGGAATCCGTTCTCTTATGGTATGTTCCTCTTTTGTAGAAATTGATGCAGAAAGACAGAAAGGTAGCTACACATCCTACAATGAGATCACATATAAGCAATATCAATGACACTCTGTATTGCCACAAATGCTCCTGACTGTAAACTCCCCAAATCTAAATCTTCATTATTCTCTGTTGTATTTGGGGTGCTTGTGTCAATGTTTGTGTGTGGGCATCTATGTATACACAAAGATTATATATTTACATCTATCAATTCATGTTGATATAACTATATATCTTCATTGGTTTGTTTTCCTCTCACATTTCACTGGTGGTGCTATCCAGGGTACTGATTGAATTCAGATGGGGCATTGCTAAGGCATGTAAATAAACCTAGAGTCAGACACAAGTGTGACTTCCTAGACTTTACTTTTTGGTTCTCACAACTCATATTTGCTTTGGGGTTTTGTGTGTGGGGGGGGGGGCTGTGTGTGTGTGTTTACAATTAAACCTAAGCAGAATTTTAGCATTTTGTGGTTTAACTTACTTCAAATTCAACCTGTTTCTAGTACAAATCCCTTTAAATTTATCTCATCTCCTGATTCTCAACTCCCTCCATTAATGCCTTATTTTCACAATCATGGATGTCTTCTCTGCTCTCAGACAAAGTCAAGAAACTGCAGACCAGACGCTGGGGTACCATTCAAAGCCAGGACGGATTGGGCATCAGTCTCACATGGAGGCAGAGCTCTGGAGGTTATTAATCAAACCAATACACATGCAATCCTAAACACACTTTTGGGGTCAAATAACTACCAATGTTCTATAACATACAAAAGGGTTGATATTTAAATATTCATGTGTCTATCACTAATTTGAATTTGCTACCTTTTTAAAAATTCAAAACAAGGCTGTATAGGGCAGTAATGGCTTTTGAAGGTCTATGAAAATAGTAATACAGTGAGAGTGGAGTTACCATAATTCTAATCCCAAGTTATGATAGTCTTTTATGGTGGCATGTGTTTCCATTGAACTGCCTTTTGTGAGGAAACATTTCTCTCATCCCATCTGATTTTCTGATTCTTAAGTCCCTCCATAACATCCTTGCTTTCACCCATCATGGCTGTCTTTCCTGCCCAGTACATCAATCCTGATTTGTTTTTAACTCACATTTTACTGCTGGCTCCATCAGAGTTTTCTCCAGTCAGGTCAATTGGCTTAGGGCTAAGGAATTATAGAAGAATTTTAGTCAGACATAGCACATCATTTTAATTTTCTTTTTTGATCAAATAGTTACAATTACTCTATCCTGTGCAAGATAAATGATCCTGCACAGCTGAATCAGGAATACTCTCCAAATTATTATGGGTTTGGGACTAGGTTTGAGTTTGGGCAATCAGTCTCACATGGCAGCAGAGCAACCTCACATGGTCGCAGAGCTCTAATGAGAGAAGGACACTTCAAGGTTCTTTGATCTCCATTCCTCTTGCTGAGTGCTTTTCTTCTCCCTGTCACCTATTACCTCTTCCTTGCTCCAGATAGGGCTCTGTCCCCATTTGGCCCTCTTTAGTAAAGTCTAATAAACAAAAAGTCTGAAAGTTGCCCAGTGGATAGAAATTGGCTGCTACTAACTAAGACTGGCAAACCTACAATGGGAAGAAGCAATCCTTTCATAAACTTTCTTTTCATTCAGTTTGATTGGAACAATATTGAACATAATATCTAAATCCTATGGGGATAAGATTTAACCACAGTGTCAGAGACTCTGTGTTGACAAGCACATGCTTGAGAGTCAATTGTACAAATATCAACTTCTCTTTCATTGTGTGTGTTTGTACATGCATGTGTGTACAAGCACATATACACTGTGTGTGTGTGTGTGTGTGTGTGTGTGTGTGTGTGTGTGTGTGTGTGCATCAATCTTGATTTGTTTTTAACTCACATTTTACTGCTGGCTCCATCAGAGTTTTCTCCAGTCAGGTCAATTGGCTTAGGGCTAAGGAATTATAGAAGAATTTTAGTCACACATAGCACATCATTTTAATTTACTTTTTTGGTCAAATAGTTACAATTACTCTAGACAAATCTTGTTGATCTTTTTTTTTTTAAATTTGTATTTATATTTATCTATTTGAGATGGGGGTCTCACTATGTTTCCCAGGCTGGTCTTCAATTCCTGGCCTTACTAACCTTCTGCCTTGGCCTCCAAAAGCAGTGGGATTACAGGTGAGCCATCACATTTGGCCACGTTTTAGTTATCATAAAATCTTCATGTATATGTCACCATTTTGAACCTGATTTGTAATTTTTACTAGATATGAGGCTTTCTTTATAAAAAAAAAATGAGCATCTTAAGCCTATGGAAACAATAATGAATCCACACCGTAGAATAACTCTTAATTTTCTTAGACCTCATGTAAGAGAGTCTTTCAAATTCAGCTTCAGTTATAGGTATAGATCATTTCACCCCATCTGAATTCCTGACAGTCAAGTTCCTCTATTGTCTCTTGACTTTCACCCATCATGGTTCCCCAGTTGCCCCTCAGATAAAGTCAAATAACTACAGACTACAAGGAAGAGCTTCTTCCAGTGTGGTGGTGGGTGTGGGCGTGGGGCATCAGTCTTACAAGGAAGCAAAGTTCTGAATGGTGAGTGACAGTTCTGGGTCTATTGGCTCTATTCTCCTCCAGGAGGGCTCTTCTGTTCACTGTCCATGCCTACCTCTCCCTTGCTTTCAATAGGGTCTCTGTCCTTGGTCCACACTAGTACAGTCTCCTCCATAGTAACCTAGGGTGACAAACACTATCGTAGAAGACTCTTCTTTATTTCTTTTTTAATGCACCTTTATTCAATAAAACAAATCATATTATCTATAGAAGCTCACCATAAGAGAACTTTAGAAACACAATCAAGAAAAAGCTGTATTGAGACTGTGGCCCCTGAATCTGAACCTCTATGAACGTCGCATGTATGTACATGAATGTGTGAATGTCTAAATATAAATGAGGGGGACCCAAAAAACCCAGAGCTTATTTATTTTAAAATGTATATTTATTCTTACATGTTTAAACTTCAATCATTTTCAAAGTAATGTTCATTTTATGCAATACATCCATCCAGACACTTTTTCCACTGCTGAGTTTTTGAACTCATCAATTTGATACCTTTTCATGCTTCTGCCATTTTTTGTTTCACTTCTTCCACATCAGCAAAAACGTTTCCCCTTGAGGATTTTGTCATCCAGAGAAACAAAAAAAGTTGCTAAGAGTGAGATTGGGTGAATAGCAAAGGTGAGGTATGGGTCATGCCGTTTGAGGTCAAAAAACTGCTGGACACGCTGTGTGGTGTAGGCAAGTATGCTTGTAAATCACCCATCATGAAACAGGTAAATGCTTTGAGAGACTGTCCAAAAAAATTCACGGAAGCCAGACAACCTCTCACAACAATACTAGCTGATACACTGGTGTGGGGTAGGTTCCTGAACAGTTTACCTAGTGGGGGAAGCCTGTACTGCATGGGGGTCTTCCCTCCAATAAATAATTCTGGGTTATTTTGGGTCCCCCTAGGATGCATATATTAAATATATTTATAAACTTATAAATAAATATATATTAACAATGTATATATATTTATATATGCATATATAAAAATTTATATCTTACGCTATTTCTGTAACTTCATCCCAACTCATTCTTTTAGGGTCACATGGGAAAGTGCTAAAGAATAGAAAGGTAGGCCAGGGCAGGAGGACGCCTGGCGAGGCTCGGGCTCCTCCCCGCGTCCAGCCCTGGGCACCGGGAGTCAGCGATGGCCCGGGCCGGCACCATCCGCCTGGTCTGAGTCATCTCCGGAAGCCTTGCCCACGATCGAGGCGGATGTGAGGCATCCACGGAGCAGGACTCTCGGAAGACGCAGCAGCAGCCACCGCAGGAGGAGAAGGAAGCCTCCCGGGCCTTCCCCGATGGATGATCTCTGTGAAGCAAATGGCACTTTTGCCATCAGCTTACTCAAAATGTTGGGTGAAGAGGACAGTTCACGAAATATATTCTTTTCTCCCCTGAGCATCGACTCTGCCCTGGCCATGGTCTTAATGGGGGCAAAAGGAAACACCGAAGCCCAGATGTCAGAGGCACTTTGTTTGAACAAAGATGGAGATGTTCACCGAAGTTTCCAAACACTTCTCAGTGAAGTTAACAAAACTGGCACTCAGTACTTTCTCAGAACTGCCAACAGACTCTTTGGAGAAGAAACGTGTGATTTTCTTCCAGCCTTTAAGGAATCTTGTCAGAAGTTCTATCAGGCAGAGCTGGAGGAATTGTCCTTTGCCAAAGATTCTGAAGACTGCAGGAAACATATAAATGACTGGGTGACAGAAAGGACTGAAGGTAAGATTTCAGAGGTGCTGAGTGCTGGGACAGTCAATTCACTGACAAAGTTGGTGCTTGTGAATGCCATCTATTTCAAAGGAAAGTGGAATGAGCAATTTGACAGAAAGTATACAAGGGGAATGCCCTTTAAAACCAATGAGGAGAAAAAGACAGTGCAGATGATGTTTAAGCATGCTAAATTTAACATGGGGTATGTAGACGAGGTGCATACCCAGGTCCTGGAGCTGCCCTATATGGAGGAGGAACTGAGCATGGTCATTCTGCTGCCTGATGACAACACCGATCTCACCGTGGTGGAAAAAGCAATTACATATGAGAAGTTCAGAGCCTGGACAGATCCAGAAAAGATGACAAAGAGTAAAGTTCAAGTTTTCCTTCCCAGATTAAAGCTAGAGGAGAGTTATGACTTGGAGCCTTACCTTCGACATTTAGGAATGACTGACGCCTTTGACGAAGCCAAGGCCAACTTTTCTGGAATGTCAACTAAGAAGAATGTTCCTGTGTCCAAGGTTGCCCACAAGTGCTTTGTGGAGGTCAATGAGGAAGGTACAGAGGCAGCTGCAGCCACCGCAGTGGTCAGGAATTCCCGGTGCGTTAGAATAGAACCAAAATTCTGTGCAGACCATCCTTTCCTTTTCTTCATCAGACATCATGTAACCAAGAGCATCTTGTTCTGCGGCAGGTTCGCTTCTCCATAAAGAGGGGCAATTCCTGCACATGACCTCCTTTCCCTTCAACCTATCCTGTCTTAATTAACATTCCGTGTACCCAAATTGCAATGGCTTGAATGCCAAAATAAAGTGTGTGCACCTGGGTAGTTTGTGAATGTCTTAG